TTCCACGGCCCTCGATCGCATCTGCTCGACGCGTATTTCTCAGGTATCAGGGAGCGCGCCGGACACGTCGGCCACGTGTCGTCGTGCAAGCGGTGAGCGCGATCAAAGGGAGGAGGGATCGATCAGCTGCGCTCCTCGAGCTTTCGAATACGTTTGTTCGTTCCTTTCCACGGAATCTTATCTGGATATTATGTATATATAGATATACACACGTATACGTGGTATATATATGGTTGGAGGATCTGTGTGTAACGTTGGATACAGGGGGTGGATGGGGGTGGCTGATAGGGTTGGCGCTCTTGGGACAATGGGAATAAGATATTGTTTTGGGAGTATCGTGCGTTTGCTATCTAAGCGTGCTTGTTTTAGTGATGAGTGTGTTATTGGATATTGTTGCGGGGGGAGGAGAGGAGATGATTTGAATTGTTTCAGCTTGTTTGGAGGAATTGGCCTGGTGAAGGGAATATATCGGTTTCTTGGAGATATGTTTTAGTCCGATTCTTTCCTCGATTCGTTAATTAAAAGCAAAGTATTGTGCGATATCGAGTAAAGGTTTATGCAAAATCTTTTTTTATTGAATTACGGTTTTTAATTTCGCGAATGAGGATCCTTTATCGGGTTTGTAAAAAAAAGTATATATATTTATTCGCAAAAGTATTTTAATTATAGAGATGAAAACTCAAATTTGTTTGTTTCAGGATATTTATCGTATTTTACAAATATATTTTTGTGACGTGTCTCGTGACGTATATTTTTAACTTAAGAATGTACTTTTCCTTTTTTTAATCTCCATTTTATTATAATATTCTCTTACAATATTATACAAACATTATTCAACAAGAAAATCTTACTGATTCTACGTTAACCTCTTCTTTTCTGAGTATACATCCAAAAAGTTTCACTCTCGAATGGTTTCACTTTTAAAATCTCACGAGTTGCCTAACAACCTAATACGTAGGATTGTTCTTCAAAGAGCAATCGAGAGCGTGACGATACTTTCTACCTCTATGCTAATCACGACACGATACAGTTTTCCTTGCGAGTGAAAGTGGCGGACGATTGGCCGTAAATTCGCCTCGAAGGGATCGATCGATCTCTGAGACGGAAATCTTTACGAGGAATGATAGACCACTTCCGTGGACGGACAGGATCGAACGGCACGGTGGCCCATTGAAAGGAACTGACCTTCCCTCCACCCATTTCGCAAAGCGGATTTCGTCCAGAACGTTTCGTGCTTGGACGAGGAACTCTGGCAAGGATTAGATTCTCTGCCATGGAGAGGATCGATATTCGAGATGAATGTGTTAAAGAAAAGGAGGGTGTCGTTGCCCGAGATTTCCAGCTTTGATCTCGAGTGAATTTTGTTGTACGCGATTCTTTTGGATTTAATCAGATTTGTTGTGTTTCTTTCTCTCTCTCTCTCTCTCTCTCTTTGATCTTATATTCCGATACGATGTTTGCAAGAGAGTGATCTATTTATATTTCTTGGAAAGATGGCGTTTTTTAATTGGATGGAATTTTAATTAGAATTTTGGTTTATGCTCGTTGCGTTCCTTTTTTCCTTCTCCCTCGAATAAATGGAAAATAAATTTTATTTAGTAAAACTTGTGATATTAAATTCAATTATCAGGTACTAATTGGATATTAAGAAAAAATTAGAGATGTACCGAAATTCGTAAATTTCGTGTTTAATTTTTTCACATAGAAAATAAACCATTTCTAAATGAAATTTTAATTCCTGAAAATATACTATTCCACTTCTCGTTGAACACACGCCGGAACGAAAGAATTTTTGGAATTTTAATCCCCATAATACCGTTTTCTCGTTTAACCATCGAGTTTATAGAATGCGTTACAACGAAATAATATTCCATATACACCGAAATATACAACAAAACGCTCCTCTTGTCGACGAATAAAACGTAATTTGCGCAAAGAGAATCGAGAGAGAGAGAGAGAGAGAGAGAAATGTTCAAAGAATGCGTTCCAAGAATTTATTCCTGTTCCACGTATCCGAACCGTTTTCTTTGTGCGTTAGTTGTCTTGTTAGCGGTTAGTGATGAAGTTCTTGCTTCGCGGCTCGAATACCCGCTGCCATAACGAGTAACGATTTATGCGTTAATATATCGTGCACAGGCGTTGTACAGGCGGCGGGGGCAGGCCCCTTTTCGAAACCGATCCTTCTTTCGATCCGACCCGGGAGAAAAGGAGTTAATGTACATCCGTGAAACTTTTGGGTTAAGAGTTAAGAAATCGTCGGCCCGTTTCGAATGAACGCGAAAATACGAAAAATAACTCGTGTCGATTCATAGAAACGAAACTTTAAACCAGCCCTGCTCGTAACACCGTTGATAAAATCAACCTGTTAAACGATCCCATTTCCCGCCATTTCGATCGAATCAATTCGAGTTGGACAAGTCGGCGGTGAAATTGATTCCGTTATCGAGTTTGAACAGCTGACCGATGCGTTTTGCAATTCGAGCATTACCGAGTGACGTATCTAGATGTCTAAGCGTTATCTAGATATGCACCGTCTGTCTTTCAGAGTTGACGCATTTTCGGCCAATCTATAAGATTGGTCGAGTGTTTAAATAGCAATGGCGTTATCGTTGTCGCGAATTTCGAAAAATTTCGGAACACGATGCTTTAAGTGGAGAATTTTATTGGGAAATATATATATATATTTTGGGAGAGTTTTGGTTTTGTTTTTGAAATACGGTGCTTGACGAGAGTAAATGAACGCAATATTACGATGAAAAAAAAAAAAATTCTCATTTCTGGAGTTTCAATTTTTGGAGCACAATACTCTATTTTTCCTACGAAACGAGAGAGAATTTAATATCGAAACGAAGGAATTTTTAGATATCTCTAGAACTGTCATTTTTTTTTTTTTTTTTGGAATGCAATATTCTTTTCTTTTCGAATGGAAGATGAAACAATCGGGAGAAAATTTTTTTTTTATTTCAATTTCTGTTACTATTTCGTATTACAAATTTCAAAAGTTATTTCGAATTAATAATTTTGGTCAGATCGATTGGCGCGCGATTTGTTAATCTTTGACCACACGAGGAATCGTGATATCAGGTTGACAACTCGTAAATACGTAATGAAGTGTGGAAACCTTGCACGCCCGGAACCGTGACCGCCCCCATTTGTCACTGCGCACCGAATTTATAATCCCACGTGTTCATCGGGTTATACTTTGCGTGATTCATCGTCTTATGAGCCGGGCTGTGACGTGTGTGAGTAATCTCTTGGAACGAATATGACGAAATTATCGCATCGCCGGTCGTTTCTCACGGGACCCTGGCTGCGAAATCATCGATATCGATAAAGACGAACTTTGATACGGTTGCGATTTATTAATAGAATATAATGGAAGAATTGAGCGGAACGAAACAATGGTATCGAATTAAGGAAAGGAAATAATTTTTCTCTTTCAAATATCGAGCTTAGTTTCGAGATCGCGGAGTAGATGGCGCCAAAAGTATGCTTGATCTTCTAACCTGTCCCTTGAATGAAAGGAAAAGTTGATTTTTACGTCCGATCTCGATATAATTTTTTTCCTGATTAAATTTCAAGTCAAGAATCGAGAGAAGTATCATTGCAATTATAGTTGAATTTGAAAATTTTTTTTTAAAGGATTGAATATTTTTATTTCATAGTTGTACGAAACGATACAACGTGTTTACGTGTAATATTTGATGTCAAGAATCCAAAGTTTTGATTTGAGAAGTCAGACAAGTTTTTCCGACAGTGTTCTCAATTCATTCGCATCAAGTTGAGCATCGATAGTGTTTACATTCGTTAATCTATTAGGAAAGATAGGAAATTAGGACGTGTCGAAGTTTCTGAATCGCAGGAGAGGAAATCTAGAGCTAGGTGTTAATGCTTCTAGATCGTTTCGGTTGAATAAGCGTTAATATCTTTTACCAGCTACACTGACAGACTTTTAAGCATTATCGGTTACGAAGCTTGTGCAGGCAAAGTATTAACACCAAAACGTTATTATCACGGACTATACTCCTTTTTAATTAGATTAGGAGCTACGGAATCTGTTCTTCTTCTTATTACTTTGCTCTCCACTCTTATTCTCTTACCTTTCCACTCCAATTCCCGTTTCGCATAATATTTGTTTATTATATTTTCCACGACAAAGCGTTAAAAATATTTTTTAATCCTCGATCGAATAGAATATTTATGGAATATTTCTCAAACTTTTTCAATATTTATTCCAAACGTAACGATAAACTATCGATTCAAATTCGTTCGATCAAATTAGAAAGAACTCTCCAAAAATCTCGATGCAGGTAGATCGGTGAAAACACGTTTCTTTCGCGGATTCTATCGTCGAAGGACCTTCCGAGAAAGACCAACTTACTCCTCCCCCTATTCCGGAAGTGGAGGACACGCGCGTACAAATCAGCGGTGGGGCATAGACAACAAATCACAGAGGGTTGTCCGGTCGGATGCGAAAGAACACGGCAGTGTTCGTAGCCTATTAAGCAACGACAACTACGGTGAAGCGGTTTCGAAGGTAAAGAAGCTCGAAGGTGGGGGAGGGAACCCTTGGTGGATGGGAAGAGAGAGAGAGAGAGAGAGAGAGAGGAGTCGGTTGATAAATGCGCGCCCGTACGCCTAGGAACCAGTTTGGTGTTTACCTAGTAAGTAGTGTTGTCAGTCAGCTGGTTTGTTGCATCTTCGCAACGAGGCAGCCGCTCGTGGCGCAAAACGTTAGCACGCTTACCCCGCTCGTGTCTCGTGCATCCGTGTGCGTTTGTGGGTTCGAGTGTGTTACGGAGTTTACTATAGCGTAAGTTGGTATTCAGTCGGGACCGTTGGAGGGATATACATCCTGCCCCGTGGTGGGGGTAAAATTGGCCGATGGTGGGGATAGGAGTGGGGAGTTAACTGCACGCTGGCAGTCATGCAGGGTGCGTGACCGTCGACGGAATAGGGACTCGGATTCGGAGTCAGTTGCTCTCCGGCGTTCGCGGTGGAACGTCGTTGCGCCAGCCTCGTCTCTTCGTTTCTTGCTCGTAACGTTCCGTTTCACATGTAGTTTCTCACGAGGGTCGAAGTCCGCTGTAAACGGAGGCGTCACGCGTTGGTGGATTCGAAGGACGATCGTATACGCAGACGAGTGATCGGGGGAATGCAGTGTCGATAAGTGGTTATGCCGAGTTTATTCGCGGAAAAAAGAAACGAGGCGGATTATCGTTTCCCTCGTTCGGTGGTGGTCGAGTGGTGAGATCCCTGGCGACGGGGCGGCGATACGCACGAGATTGAACGTTCCTGTTCTTTTCTCTTCTTTCTTCCTCCCCCTCGTCTGTGACACGGAAGAAGAAAAACGGGGGGAAACGGGGTGTCGTATCACGCTCCAGAATCGACTGCTCGTACACCGCGGGAAATGGTGTTGTGATAGAGTGACTATGAGTGCGTGACGACGGCAACGCTTACGATCTGTGGACGACTGGCTCACGCGACGAGAGGAGAGTCGGTGTTTAGAATTCGACCCCGTGTCTGTGCTCGTACGTGCGTGCGTGCGTGCGTGCGCGCGTGAAGGAAAGGAACGACAATTGGTCGGAATGGAGGCGACACGGGTTGGTTTGGTGCTGCTGGGGATCGTCTGGTCCCTGTTGCTGAACGCGGGCCCGATACACGGGCGCAGCATCACGAGCCTCGAGGCACCGAGCGGGTGCGAGTGGAAAAAGGACGGAGAGGACGGAGAAAAAGCTCTGGCCTGTAGGGTTAGGACTATCGCCAACGTGCCCAGCCTAATTGGCAATCTCTCGGCCATTCAAGTGGACTCGATCGGTTCTTTGGCCTTGGAATGCAGCGACGTGTTGTTCTTCGAGAGCCAGATAGACGGGCCGCACGGATTCTTCTCCCCCCTGCCCCGCTTGGAGAAGCTTCGCGTTGATTATTGCAAGATCCGCTATCTTCCAGCCGGTGTTTTCGCGTCCGCGCACAATTTGCGCGCTTTGTCGTTGATCACGCACAACGGCGACTGGTCGGCGATGAGTTTGGAGCTTCACAGGGATTCGTTGCGCGGCCTCGCGCATCTCCAACACCTCGATCTGGCCGACAACAATCTGTGGACGCTCCCGGCCGAGCTGCTCTGCCCGGTGCAGAGCCTCGCCACGTTGAATCTGACGCGCAACAAGTTACAGGACATCGTTTCCCTGGGATTCTCCGACACGGCCGAATCGTGCACCCCCAATCTCGAGGTGTTGGATCTGAGCAACAACGACCTGACCACGATCCACGATCGAGCGCTCAGCAATCTGCGCAGCCTGACCGTGTTGAAGCTCCAAGAGAACGCGATCAACGCGGTCGGCGATCACGCCCTGGCCGGTTTAACGGCGTTGCACTCCCTCAACGTGTCGAGCAACCGTCTGGTCGCGTTGCCACCCGAGCTGTTCTCCAAGACGAGGGAACTGAGGGAGCTGATACTCAGCAACAACTCGTTGGCGGTGTTGGCCCCCGGCTTGTTGGACAACCTGGACGAGTTGCAGATATTGGACCTGAGCGGGAACGAGTTGACGAATCGTTGGGTGAACAGGGACACGTTCTCGAGGCTGGTGCGCCTCGTGATCCTCGACCTCTCCCGCAACGCGCTCACCAAGATCGACGGCCACGTGTTGAAAGGATTGTACAGCCTGCAGATATTGAAGCTCGAGCACAACGAGATCGAGACGTTGACGGACGGTTGTTTCGGCTCCCTCACCAATCTGCACATGCTCACCCTGTCCCACAATCGGATCGCGAGATTCGACCCCTCGCACACGATCGGCCTCACCACCCTCAACCAACTCTTCATGGACGCGAACAAAGTGAGAGCCCTTCACCGTCACGTGTTCGACAATCTGACCGGCCTCCAAGATCTCTCGCTTAGGGGAAATTATCTGACCGAGATCCCGTACGCGGTGCGCGTGCTGCGCTCGTTGAAAACGCTCGACCTCGGGAACAACCACGTGTCCAGAATCGAGAACGACTCGTTCGCCGGTTTGAGCGAGTTGTACGGGTTGGGGCTGGTCGACAACAAGCTCGAGAACGTGTCGCGCGAGGCGTTCGCCGCCCTGCCCGCGTTGCAAGTGTTGAACCTGGCCAACAATTACATCCGTCACGTGGAGCAGAGCGCTTTCGCGGCCAACCCCGTGTTGCGCGCCATACGGTTGGACGGCAACCAGTTGACGGAGATCCGCGGCGCGTTCACCAGCCTCTCCACCCTCGTCTGGCTGAACGTGTCCGACAACAAGCTGCTCTGGTTCGACTACAGCCATCTACCGGCCAGCATAGAATGGCTGGACATACACGCGAATCAGATAAGCGAGCTGGGCAATTATTACTCGGTGAGGAACACGCTTCGCATAAAGATGCTGGACGCGAGTCACAACCAGATCGGGGAGATCGGTGAGGCGAACGTGCCCGACAGCGTGGAGACCCTGTTCCTCAACAACAACAAGATACGCGCGGTCGGGCCGGCCACGTTCTTCCAGAAGAGGAGGCTTCAGAAGGTGGTGTTGTACGGGAACGAGATAAGGAGTCTGGACGTCGCCGCGATATCCCTGCAAACGGTGGCCGACGACGCCGAGCTGCCCCAATTCTACATAGGCGACAACCCGATTCTGTGCAACTGCACGATGGAGTGGTTGCCGAGGATCAACGAGATGGCGGCGCGTCTACGCCAGCACCCCCGTGTCATGGACCTCGACTCGGTCACGTGCGAGATGGTGCACGCCCGCGCCACCCCCCGAAGACCGTTGCTCTCGTTGAAGTCGAAGGACTTCCTGTGCCGTTACGAGGCCCATTGTTTCGCCCTGTGCCACTGTTGCGACTTCGACGCGTGCGACTGCGAGATGACCTGCCCGGACAATTGCTCGTGCTACCACGACCACAGCTGGTCGAGCAACGTGGTCGACTGCTCGAACGCAGGCTACAACCACGTCCCGGAGAGGATCCCCATGGACGCGACCGAGATATACCTGGACGGGAACGAGTTGGGCGAGCTGGGCAGCCACGTGTTCATCGGCAAACGCCGCCTCGAGGTTCTCTACCTGAACAACAGCGGGATATCCGGGATTCACAACTTCACGTTCAACGGGGTGGGCGCGTTGCGCGTCCTCCACCTCGAGGACAACGCGCTGCGGGAGCTGCGGGGCTTCGAGTTCGACCAGTTGGAGAGGATGTCCGAGCTGTACCTGGACCACAACGCGATCGCTACCGTGGGCAACACCACGTTCAAGAAGATGAGGAACCTCGAGGTGTTGAGGTTGGACAGCAATCGCATCGTCAACTTTCGGCCGTGGGAAGCGTTGCCGAGCGTGGGGGACAGCACGAGGACGGTGGTCGCGTTGGAGGGGAACGCGTGGAGCTGCGAGTGCGGGAACGCGGCCAAACTGCGCGGCTGGTTGGCCGAGCATCGAGGCGACCCCGAGAAGATGTACTGCCGCGACGGGGTCGAGACCCTGGCCCAGGCCATGAAGCGCTGCGGCGACCCGTCCACGGAGGCCGTGAGCCGTGGAATCCAGGAGATCCCTCTCCTCGGCGGCAACCTGGTCCCGCTCCTGGCGGGCGCGCTGGTCGCCGTCATCGCCATCTCCCTCTTCGTAGCCCTCGCGTTCGCGTTCCGCCAGGACGTCCGCCTCTGGGCCCACGCTCGCTACGGCCTCCGCCTCGGCAAGATGAGCGCGCCCCCCGACGAGGAGAGGGACAGGCTTTACGACGGTTACGTGGTGTACAGCGAGAGGGACGAGGACTTCGTGTCGAGATTTTTGGCGGCCGAGTTGGAGCAGTCGGGGCTCGCCCTCTGCCTCCACTGGCGGGATTTGCCGCCCGCGAGGGCGCAGGAGGCCGTGCCACCGGCGGCGGCCGCCGCAAGGCGCATAGTCATCATCTTCTCGCCCGTGTTCCTCGCCAACGAGTGGCAGCACGCGGAATTCCGTGGCGCGTTGAGGACCGCTCTCGAGAACATAAGGCCCGGCTCGAGGAAGAGGCGGGTCGTGGTCCTTCTCGCGACCGAGGCGCCCGCCCGCGACCCCGAGTTCCAGTTGCTCCTTCAAACGTGCACCGTGGTCGTGTGGGGCGAGAAGAGGTTCTGGGAGAAGCTGCGCTTCGCCATGCCCGACTCGGTGGGCAAGAGGCGAGACGGTAGCAAGAAGGTGAACGACCGAAATCGGAAACCGGCGCGGTACACGGCCGCCCCCTCGGCCGGCGACGCGTGGACCAAGCCTAATGGCGTTTTGGTCGCGCCGGTGCACGCGCCCACGCCCACGCCCACGCAGTCCACCTATGTGAGCTCGGCGAGCAGCAGGACCGAGGACGAGGACAGCGGCGCGGAGCACCAGCACCAGCACCACAACCAGCACCAGCACGGGGGTTACAGCGCGTTGCACGCGGGGGGCGCGAGGCCCGCGAGCCTCTCCTCGAGGGGCAGCCATCTTTACAGCACGATACCGGAACCACCGGTCCCCACGGCGCCCCCGGGCGAGGTCTTGACGCATCCGGCCAATCCTCGTACTTACTTCGTCTAGTGCGAACGCTCGACGATCGTCCTCCTCCACGCTCGTTCCGCGCCGCCGAGTCGGACGCTGGACTCTGATGGAGAAAGAGAGTGAGAGAGAGAGAGAGAGAGAGATGGTACGTCGTTAGGATATATTTGTACAGTTTCGTTCGTTCGCTCGCGATAGACGACGACGACGACGACGACGACGACGACTCGTCCCGGTCTGTTTGCTCTTCCACTAGAATCGGCTATAGAGGGGATCTTCCCTCGGGTTCTCGTCACGCTCGCCACGGAAACCCGAACGTGGAGGATCGTTTATGCAGCGGGGGAGGGGGTTGGTTATCGCGTCGAGAGTATCGCCTCGCGAGAAAGTGGTTTCCAGGGGACGCGAGGCGATACCCCCCCTTCTCTCCCCCGACAACACTCTTTTCGTTTAATACCAACCGTGATGTTGATCGACGATAAATCGGGAGACGGGTTTACTCGCTACGTTCGTTTCTTCGTAACGTTACGAAGCGCCCTCATCCGCTCGTTATTTTTTTAACTCGTGCTGGGGCAGAGAGAGAGAGAGAGAGAGAGAGAGGGAGAGAGAGAAAAGTGCGCGAACAAGAAAAAGCATTTTGGCGATAACTTGGCGGTCGACGAGAATCTTCTTTAGAATCTAAGATGAAATAAACTTAGAATGATGAAATAAAGAAAGAAGGAATAAACCGCAAGGATGATTGAAAGTGGATCACGCGAATGTTCTTCTTAGTTGTTGCACATCGGATACGCTTCGAATTCGTGTTCGAGCATCTTGTGTTCGAGGAAGGAAGAGTTCGAATCTCTCGAAAAATCCGTCACCGGGGCTTTTTTGCGATGTCGAGAGTTTCGATCGCGCTTGAAAAATAACTCTGCCGGCCTCCTCGCACGAGCGTCCTCGTCGATTTCACCGCGACCGCACACCTCGATCGATCGATCGCGAATTTTCGCCTTCTCTCTCTCTCACTCTCTATCTCTCTCTGTCCTCTCCTCCTTTTTCTTTCGGCGAACCAACCAACGGCAACGATCGTTATATTTATTTTCCATTCGTTCAACGATTTGACAAGTCTCGAGCGATTTGTTCCACGATTCTCGAATCGCGTTGCGCGTCCGATTTTGACGGGAGAATGAAAAAGATCGACCGCGTGACGATTTCGTCTCCTTTTCTTTTTCTTTTACCCCTTTTTTAAACAGGCATGTGATACATGTATGATTTTCGTTTATCTCGTGAATTTATATCGGCGTTGTTGTCTCTCCTCGTATTTTTTTTATTTTCTCGAAATAGTTAGAAGACACTTTTGACGCATTTATTGTTATTATTATTATTTTTACTATTCGAAAGACGAACGAAAAAATTCGCGATATATTTCTTTCCTTTTCTATTTAATATACGCATGATTGCTTCGTCATCTACGGAATCGTTCTCTCCGAAAAAATCGATTTTCTATTTTTCTCGAACACAATCGTAACGGGATTACGGGATGGATTAATATATAGTTCAAAGATTCCTATTTCTTGTACCGAGCATAACAAATCTCTTCGCGCGAAACGTGAAACGTAATCCACCTCGTTCTCGTTGAACCGAAAAAGAAACCGAGAAAAGAGAGACAGAAATAGAGAGAGAGAAGGAAAGACATATTTCTAAAAAAAAAAAAAAAAGAAAACAGCGGAATATTTGATTCGAAATTAATTTTTATTTCCCCAAGACCGTTCGTTTACCTTGAACGATCGAGCGTTTTCCCCCTCCCCTTCTTTCAAGGCGGAATTTTATATTTTTCCACGACAGAGAAAACGTTCCGATCGAGGAGCTCGAGGATTCGTCGAAAACCGTTCCAAATCCCCTCCCGTTTCACCGATGATGAGAGAGAAAAGACGAGAACGATACGCGCCGTGCGTGCTCCGAATCCCGAGGCGAGCTCCACTTCGTACTAATATCTTTATATATTATATTTTAATAAATCTTTATATTTTTCTTCTTTTTTCCCCTCCAACCTCGGGAGACGACGCCCGCCTATGGTTCTCATCCCCTTCGTCGTGTTCGTTTGTCAATTCGTTAGCTAGGGATGAAAATGAAATTTAATCGCGAATTACGTGAAAATTGTGACAAAGAGAGAGAGAGAGAGAGAGAGATAAGATAAAGAATATGCGCGCGTGTCTAAGAGAGAATGAGAGAATGTGAGGAAGAAGACGCGTCTTTTAGACGTATACATATACGAACATATATACATACACGCGCATACACACACACACACACACACACACACACACGCGCGTACACACCTCGTTCCTAAGATTCACGACTGTCTTTTTTGGGAAAAAAGCAACGGTCGCCAAACGCTTATTAGTTTGTAAGTGGATGATCCTCCTGTAAATACTGTGTATAATCTAACGTTGTAAATAATTCACGCACACTTTTCGAGCACGTCAAAGTGGCCAGAAACACATGTACCTATATAGGGTTTATAACTGGTCCCCGGGGGAAAAAAAATATCTCGGCCTCTCTCTAAAAAAACTTGCGGATTTATTATTGATTGTATTGTATCGTTGTAAATACGCTCATCGGATCAAACAATATATGTGTATATATATATATATATATATGTGTGTGTGTATATATTATATATATTTATATATACGTATATTGTATTCACGATCTGTTACGTGATTATTAAATTAATTGCCACTTTCCATTTCAGCAAAGAACCATGAGAAATAAACACGTTTGTTTTGTAAAAAAAAAAAAAAAAANAAAAAAGAAAAAAAAAAGAATGAAGAGAAAAAAAAAAAGAAGAAACAAAGAAAGAAATGGACGAGAATATTCTTTTGTTCCTTTGTCACTTATCGTGAGAAATCCGTGTCCGGGTCAGCGAACGCGAACTGGCGAACTCGAAAGTTTTCCATCGAGGAAGCCCGCCCGAAGAAGAACTTTGACGTTCTTCGTGAACTCGTTTTAATTCGCTCGACACTAATAGCTTTCCCTCCCCATCGTCGAATGTGGCTCCTCTTTTCGCCAACTTCCTCCCTTTTCCGATCGCTTCCCCCTTACCCCACTTTCCACCCCTCCCTCCTCTTTCTTCTTTTTTTTTTCAATTTTCTTTCCTTCCTCCCTCCCTTCTTCTCCTTTATCCTTGAACGTCGAAACGCTTATTAATATCTCGATGTATAAATTTTTGTCTTCTTAATTAAAATACCATCGATCGGTGGTATTCAGCCTCGTACGCTTTCACTTTTGCTCGTTCGCAAGATGGATGATCGGGGGTTGTTATTTCGGGTTGGATGAAATTTTTAGTAGAAGCCGCCGAAAAACTTCATCCCTGAGGGGTTGTAAGCGAGAAAGAATCAGTTTCATTCGTCTTCTAAATTGTTATTTAGAATTTTGTACGAAGGAAGCCTCTCCCGTTCGATTCGACTTCCAGTGAAATAACAACAGTCGAACTAAATTATAGAATTTAACGTGGTGGGCATAAAGTTTTAGTTTCGGTTGTGATGGAAGATTGGTACAATCTTCCATCTTTGTAAAATATCTTTTTTATTATTATTATTAGTATTAATTTATAGTATTTTTTTTTATTTATAAAGAAAAATAACAGAAAGAGAATATCACGTTAGCTTAAATATGTATTTCTTCATTTGTGTGATCTTGTTCCTTGTGAAATATTTTCTTTTAACCTAAAGAAGAGGTGCTTTTTATTTATAAAGAGGAATACTTAGGAAATATGGTGTCTTCGTTAAGCGAGTTAACTTTGCATCAAAGCATTTTCTGTAGATTTTTTATCGGTAGATTTTTTATCAATGGAGCGTGCAACCGAGTTGGATTTAGGTCTGGATCAAGATTCGATTATGCTTGATAAATTGAATTTCCTGTAACGATGGTATTTTTCATATTAAACTCGCTCATATTTCGTGGATTATTCTTGACCATAAGTGTTTGGTTTTCGAGAGAGCGTCTCCTTCAGAACGGTTCTTTAAGCTTGAACACAGGAAACGGACCCTCGACGAAGGCGCGAACACTTGAGAACTAGCTAGCTACTTTTTCGAGTGGGCCCTCGAAAGTGCATAAATAGAAAAGATCGGTCGATCGTCGAAAAAAGAAAAAAGAAAAAAAAAAAAAAAAAGAAAGAAAAAAATCACGTTTTCAACGAGGAAAAACTATATCCGTCGATATGTTTATTTATTGCAAATTGAAATTTTGATGGACGCGAACGAAGGAACGAGATTCGATCGAAGATTTATTTATCAAACATTTATCCCACCAATGTATAAACGTTCTCGGTTTAACGATTAGTAACGTCTAATCCAAGTTTAAATCATGCAAATCCTTACTGTTACTCGTACAATATATGCATATAAGAGCTGTTCCATTCCATTGAGGGGGAGCCGTGTTTTATTCAAATTTAAAACACGAAAATCCGCATTATTTCTCCGCTTCATCGTGTCTAATTAATTAATAACAACACCTCGGGCCGTTATTTCTCTTCTGTTCCGTTAAATAACTAATGAACCGTGGAAAAATTGGAATCATCGGTAAAGGGTACAACATCTACAAAATACGATAACCCATTATAACGTGCTCATTTCCTGCCTCCGAGCCATCTTTTTATTTCTGCACGCATATATTGCATAATTAATCCGTTCGAAAATCTGGATCGCCATTGTACTCCCCAATGCGATACAATTACAACAACCTGTGTGAAACAGCGACTAACAACTAACGCATTTTGATTCAAAACCGTACATTCGAAATCCAAGAATATGAGATCCACTTAGTCCAATCATTCCGTCGAACGAAACGAGATCGATCCACGGTTCGGTTGATCGAAACCGTGCCACCTGTTTTTCCACGCGCTGCTGTTAACTAACTCTCCTCCCGATGGCCGACATTTTCTCACGCCCGCGCCAAATAACATTAAACGGGCGAAGAAAGGCTGGAAGAAAGGCTGGAAACGAAGGGAAAGGAAAAGAGGAGAGAAAGAGGGTAAAGAGGAAAGAAGAAGCGAGGGCGGAGGAGGAGGAGAGGAGATAAGCGGGGGACGCGGAATAATTTATCGCATTACCCGTATCGTGGAAAACTGCATCGCTTCTGGCGGGGAATAAAATGTTAAATACGGCGCGTACATGCGCCGAGAACATCTTTATCACCGCGGCCAACTTACCGAACAGACCTTTCCACGCGGGGAGGGGATGATAGCACAGGCCATCCCACACCGTGCGGAGACGTTTAACCCTTGCCAACCGTTCATCATGCTCGCACACGACGCGTGGCTTCTTGGAGGTTTTTTACTCTCAATTGTGTAGACGAGCGTAGTTTCGTGTAGTTTAGTTTTTTATTTTATTCTGTTGAGCGAGGTTGTGTGATTTTTTTTATCGTTATTCCAAAGTTATGCAATAAGAGAAAGGATGATTTTTGTTATGATTGTAAGATGTGTGTACATACGCTCAAAGGGTTTAATAACATCGAATGGAAATAAGAATCGATTTAAAAGTAAAATTTTACTCTCGTACGAAAATGGAAGTATAGAGTCCAATTTCCATAAACATATAAAATTATTCGAGATTGAACGATTAATGAAGTAATCTCAACATAAAAAAAAAAAAAAAAAGAAAGGAAGAAAAACGAAAAGAAAATATCCACGGCACAAGTTATCCATGCAAGAGTTAGATTATATAAAAAAAGGCATCGTTTCGCCAACTGCTACTAAATTTTCGCGCAACGAAATTCTACGCCGCGCCCTAAATATATCACGCATATTTAATTCCATTCACCGCGCTCACGGGAGAGACTTAACCGGTCGACCGCAAGGGTTGCAACCCCTGTGACCACGGAGTAGCCTGAGCCTCGGTATTCAGGAATTTCACGCGCGTTGCGCCGTCAGGTCACGTCCTCGAGCGAGATTCCAGGGCATAAGTTACAGTTTGTAAGAGGATGAGTTTCCCTCCGCCTTTTAAACTGTCGTTCTTTACCACCACTACCATCACCGAACGAAAATCCTTTTTCTACTTTCCTTACGGTAGTAATAGTTTTATCAGCGGTATACGTGCGCACAAGATTCCGTTTCTCGAAAGAAAATCCAGGAGCGGAGAGGGATTAAAGCGCGTGCAAATATTTGGATGGCCGCGGGCAACAACGAATGCTAGAAAAGAGCCGTGGCTGGTTAATGTCATTACGACTTTAGGACGGTCTCGGGCTAAATTACATTTGCCGGCCACCGCGGGCAAATGGAATAATAATAAGAGAACCCTGATATCGGGCGGAAATAGTGGGTCATGTAGACGCGTTTAATAATCAAAGTAACCCGTCCGCGGGACCCGCCCCCACCAAGTGGATCGATAATTTAAGGCTTTTCGGCGGCGACGCTGAAAAATTCAAACCTGCCGCGCAACCGCGCCGATCAACCGACCGACCGTTGGTCGGCAACGTTCGGCTAAGATCGGCCTAACTCGTGCAGTATATATAAATAGGAAAGGATTCTTGACTTGTATCTTATGGGAAATTCTTTGCGCAAAGGACGATGCGAGAATTTTTAATATATTATATTTTGGACGAGGAATTGAACGTATTTCGTTGGAGAGATATTTTCCGAGAGTGGATAAAATAGTTTAACGAATGAAGATAATTTATCATCGGTTTTAACTTAATTAACGATCGTAAGCAAGTGTGGCAACGTGTAAACGTTTCTCGTGTTACCGTTGCAAGTTAAAAAACGAATTAAGTAGTTGGAGAAATAAATTGCTTCTGTTGGAGGATGCGTTGCGTTAAGTAGGTTCTAATTAGGAATGGAAATTAGAACGATCGTCAGAGGGGCTTTTAATCGCTGGGTTGCACAGCACAATTTCTATAGAGAGGTATGCTTTCACGATTCATGAGAAGATACGAACAATGGGCACAGCGTAATTATGGATTAATTAGAGGGAATAAAACATCTGTAATAATCAATGAAATCTAATCCGACCACTCAGACGAATTAATATCGTAATTAAATAATAACTCGTGATATATATATATATATGTAAAAAGAAGAGAAGGAAATATAAATTCAACGCTGTCCCAATTGTTCAAAGTGCATCGACGATTGCTCGATTTTTTTTTTGGATCGCTCTGCCCGACTAATCGAATGGAATTCGTCGTTGAAAATATCGAGGCACCCAATTGAATCTCACTTAATCGCAGAAACAAGCGATTACTCCATTGGAACTCACTTAACGAAGATTGAAGTGGCGTCGAGATTCGAGCAATATTTTTCTTTTTTTTCTTTTTCTTTTTTTTTTCTCTTTTTTTTCCTTTTTTTTTTTNTTTTTTTTTTTTTTTTTTTTTTTGCTTTATCGACGAGAGGGTTGAATTGTTGCGAAAAGTGGATGTGAAACGAGATGAAAAATCTATATCTAGGGATATAAATCTGAAAAGAAGATTTTCACCCACGATTTCACCCACGATATTTCGACGATTTTTGAACGAATTGAAGAGTCCGGTGGCAATTTTGATTCGTTTACACGCATAACGTCGATCGTTAACGAAGAATTTCTCTTTTCATCGCGGCCTCGGACGGCCTGCACGATTGAAAAGAACGTTAAACAAAAAATCGAACCGATCCCGAAATTGGAAACTGATATCCCATCTATCAGTTACAATTTATTTGGTTCGTTATGGAAATTTTTCATCGATGAAAATACTCGTTACTCGTTAAAAAGAATTCTCTTTTTTTTTTTTTTTTTACCTTTACTACTAATATACGCGAACAAAGTTTATTAAAACTTTCTGTTTATCTCTACGAATCTCCAAAAAAAGAAGGGAGGGGAAGGGAGGAAGAGAAAACAATTTAAAAATCCCTCTTAACTCTTCTCGACTACAATCTTAACCATCGAAATTCCCACAATCTCCAAATCTCGTTCCATCCCCCTCCCCCTATCCCCCCCTTCATACGTCTCGTTCAATTTCCAAGAAAAAAGGCAAACCAGCAAACCAACTTCCCCTCTTTCTCCATTCGCGAAATTCGCAGGATAACGAAGATAAACGCGGCCATTTGAAGGGAAGGGTGCGATCCAAACTCCGTCCCAAGGAGCCGATAGCCACGTTGTACGCGACACCCAGCTAACATCTCGGCCGTTATCGTGACACCGGTACACGCCGGTATACGCCACAATTTCCAGCCTCATTTATTTTGGACGAGTTGGTATGCACCAACGTGTATCCTCCTTCTCCTCTCTTTTATTTTCTCCACCCTTTCACTCCCTTTCCTCTCTCTTTCTCTCTCTCTCCCTTTCCTTCCCTTCGTTTCGATTCGAATGGAAGGCGCCGCGGCATCAATCAACTGTCGAACGAGCGCCGGCTAATCGCACACGGCCACGATATCTTGATCGATCGTGAGCGTGCGTAGGGGCGTGTGTTGGAATTAATTAGAACGATGACGTGCCCTCGGTGCTGTGAACGATGGTAGCAGTATCCAGATAGGCTATCTTAAGTGAGCAGTTTCCAGATCCGGGAAGGAGGAGGAAACAAGAAAATTGTTAACCCTCCTCCTCGGATAAAGACAAATTGTGTGCCGCCCGTCGTGAATTTGGCGATTGCACCTCCTCTAGGAGGTGGTCGCGATTATTGATTATCGATACGTTGTCGATGCCCGTGGCACACTCCATGCATCGATGATTTTCATCGTTGGGATATCGTTATATGGATGGTGGAATTTTTTTTTTTTTTTTGTTCGTTCAAGGTTGGCGAGAGGATGTTTGTTGCTGGATTTTATTCTTTTTGGGATGCTGGGGGATTGAAAAGGGATTGAGTTTTTGGTAGGGGCTTTTTTCGAAACTTGAAATTATTCGGTTTGTTTATTTTTTTTTCTTTTCTTTTCGAAGATTCATTTTTTTTATCTTTGTATATAGCTTTGGATATTTTAATGAAATCGATCATCGTCGGATTGATATTATGTTTGAATATTTATGTGATTAATTTTTTTTTTTCTTTTGTTTTTCTCTTTTCTTTTTTATCGGTTTATGCGATTTATTAATGTTATTTATCCACGGTCGTGTTCAATTGGATATGTAAAATATGTTTATTATTCGTAACAGAAGCACGTCATATTGATAAGTTACTACATCAATTTCATAAATGTAAAGGGAATAAATTTGAAAAATAAATAGAGTTTAATAAATAAATAAATAAATAAATAAATTGATCAAATAAAATCTTTATTCCTATACATTTTGCGGAGATTAATATAAATTAAATAAAAGATTAATATAAATGTCTGTACAATTAATAACAAGAAAATGTTTTTCGTAACATTTCGTGAAAATGTTATACATCGTTGAAAAAAAATATTATTTGTTTAAACAATATTAAAAATAATATATCTAGTTAAATATTATTTCAATAATGTTTTTCAAATATTTATTCGTATAATATTAAAATTTACAGAGATATATACAAGCCGACTTTAACAGTACGAACGATATAAACAATCCCCACCACGTGTCTCCTTGAATAATCTCCGAATATACCAGTCTTAATTCGACTTCGAGCGCGATAACATCGAGCTCCGAACCAAAACAAATTGAGAAACTGCGACGAATCTCGAGGTAAGTGCGTAGATATTCCTTTTATTTCTAATATTTTAACTTTTTTATGCAAGCATGTATTTAAAAATTCTCGAAAATTGTTTTCGATCTTCTTAATCTTAGTGGACAGTGCATCGACAATTAATCTCGTTAATAATTAATTCAATATGGAAAAATATACTTTCAGAAAAAATTCTTGAAAACTATTGTCCATAGTAATTTTTTTATTATTGGATACTGCATTGAAAATTATTCTCGTATTGTTACTTCTTAGTTACTTCAATCCATTATCCATTTACGAAAAATATTCTCGAAAGAAATTTTCAAAAATTATCTTCGACAGTAATTTTTCGTTACGTCGATTACTTTCGTATAATTATTTTTTAACGTAGTATCCATTTACGAAAAATACTCTTGAAGATTTTATTCTCGAACATTTTTACTTTAATTTTTACACTTGCAATTTTCTTTCTAAATTTTCTTTTTTCAATAACGTATAATTAATTCAATGTAGTATCTATTTTAATACTTTTAGAAAGAATTCTCGACTGTAATTTTTTATTATTGGACACTCCGTTGAAAATTCTTCTCGTATAGTTACTCTTCAGTCCATTATCCATTTACGAAAAATATTCTCGAAAAAAATTCTCAAAAATTATCTTCGACAGTAATTTTTCGTTACTGGATTACTTTCGTATAATTATTTTTTAACGTAGTATCCATTTCAAATTCTCAAAAATTATCTTCGACAGTAATTTTTCGTTACTAGATTACTTTCGTATAATTATTTTTTAATATAGTAAAAAATAGAATTATATTTCTAATTTTTTTTCTAAATTTTCTTTTTTCAATAACATATATTTAATCAATGCAGTATTTATTTACGAAAAATTTTAAAAAGAATTCTCGATAGTAATTTTTTATTATTGGACACTCCATTGAAAATTCCTCTCGTTATATAGTTACTTTTCAGTCCATTATCCATTTCCAAAAAATATTCTCGAAAGAAATTCTCAAAAATTATCTTTGTAATTTTTTGTTATTAGATTACTTTCGTATAATTATTTTTTAATATAGTAAAAAATAGAGTTCTATTTCTAATTTTTTTCTAAATTTTCTTTTTTCAATAACATATTTAATTCAATGCAGTATCTATTTACGAAAAATTTTAGAAAAAATTCTCGATAGTAATTTTTTTATTATTGGACATTGCATTGAAAATTCCTTTCGTATAGTTACTCTTCAGTCCATTATCCATTTCCAAAAAATATTCTCGAAAGAAATTCTCAGAAATTATCTTTGTAATTTTTCGTTACTGGATTACTTTCGTATAATTATTTTTTAATATAGTAAAAAATAGTGTTATATTTTAATTTTTTTCTAAATTTTTTTTTTTCATTAACGTATATTTAATTCAATGCAGTATCTATTTACGAAAAATTTTAGAAAAAATTCTCGATAGTAATTTTTTATTATTGGACACTCCATTGAAAATTCCTCTCGTTATATAGTTACTCTTCAGTCCATTATCCATTTCCAAAAAATATTCTCGAAATTCTCAAAAATTATCTTTGTAATTTTTCGTTACTGGATTACTTTCGTATAATTATTTTTTAATATAGTGAAAAATAGTGTTATATTTCTAATTTTTTTCTAAATTTTTTTTTTCAATAACGTATATTTAATTCAATGCAGTATTTATTTACGAAAAATTTTAAAAAGAATTCTCGATAGTAATTTTTTTATTATTGGACACTGCATTGAGAATTACTCTCGTGTAATTACTTTTCAATGCAACATCCATTACGAAAAATACTCTCGAGAGTTCTAAAACGTTTTCACTTCAATTTTTGCACTCGTTTTTTCCTGAATATTTTTTTCAATAACTCCCTATTATTTTATTTAAAATTTATCATACTATTTGGAATTAAACGAGCTTTCTTTCGTAACTTTTTAACCCTTTCAACTCTTTTACCCAAACGGGGCTGCAATAACTCCCCCTCCAACTCGATTAATTTTTTTCAAATCAATTTAATTAACTTGAATTTCGACAACCTGCCAATATCACGGTACGGCGCATCATTGACGATAAATTAATATTCCCAAAAATGGCGATCATTAAAACGCTCGACATCAACCGCGATCGATTCTACTAATCTCAAGGATGCGTAATGTATTTTGACAGGATCTCTTCTCGAAGAAGGACAGCCTCGGAGATTCGAGATATTTTTCGAAAGTCATCGTCGCATCACGCGTCTTGAATCATCGAGTTATTCTGTTATTAAGTGGCCATTCTACGACCCTCCTCTCGCATACCTTATTAGGACTGATTACACCATAACGGCCGTCAACTCAATTCCCAGCTGTGATCTTCGTCGCTTCGAAATTCTGACGACTCGTAAAGAAAAAAAAAAAAAAAAAAAAAAAAAGAAAAGAAAAGAGAGAGAAGAAAGTGCAGCGTAACAGGCAGAATAGAAGGGAGGGGAAGGGTGGATCTTATCGTGTTTTCGAACGAAAGGTGTGAAACGTTTGTCCCATGGAAGGTGTCATCCATGTTCCGTGTATGTTGGAAGCCGGATTATCGGGGCACCGTTTAACCGATTATCCGTGCCTCATTTATCTGAATGCCTCGAAAAACGTGTTTATGTGTGCGATAGGGATGGAGGAGATGGCTGCTTCTTCTCGAAAGGTAAGAGCTTCGGATTGAGATTCGGGTTTTTTCATTGGCGTGGTGTTGAAAATGCACGTGGTGTTCGGTATTCGAAATCATTTCGACTCTTATTGAGTAATTTTTTCAGATTCAGCTATCTTAAGATTTAAAAAAATTTTTCACATTTGCTAACTTTTAATAAATCTGGCGAATTATCTTTAACTTAAATTAACGAAGAATTTTTATTTTTTCGAAAGATTTAAATTAGATTATTTTTCAGATCTAAAAATAGTACATTATCACATTCACGAATTAAATTACGAGGCGAGACTGTAAAATTGATCGCGTTATTTAAATTATATTACAAAACGTACATAACGTGTATACATTTCCAAAACAATTTGTGTTACTCGTTATATACGCGAATATATTAGTTATACACGCTAGTTATTCGTTACATTAGCAGGATGCGAAACGGTAAATAACTCCATGGGAATAATTACAATAAAAGGGAAACGAGTACACAAACTGAATCCTCAAGAGGATCGTACAATTACAAAATGCATTCGACGTAACGCAGTGTGTAAAACGCTCTTTATTCTCGAGCCTCCCGCTGCGGATCGGGTCCATCGAGACCGCATTAATCTTCCCTTGAATAACAAGTTTTTGCGCGGTTTTAAACGTGTAACAATTCTCATCAATCCCTCGAAAAAGTTCCCGTGAAAAATTCGCAATCTCATCCCGCTCTCGGTGACTATGAACGATCGAATCGAATGGAAATACTTGCTCGATATAAGGGGCCTTCCTTCGAGGAGGGGAGAAAATAATCGAAACGAGCACGTTGTTATCGCGTTTAATTCGGTGAAAGCATTTTCCTCGATCGATTGTACGATAAATATTACGGTAAATATTAAGTAGGCCTCGGGTGACGCAATGAAAGTTCGGAGATAAAAAAAATTCGATAGCAACTCTCGAATCTGTTCAACGTGTTTCGAAGAGGGGTGCACGGGAGAGGAAAAAATCGATATTGAATATAAATAGGAGATATGTCGCGATTTTAATAACGGGTGCCAATTTTAATGTTAGGTTTCATTAAATAATTGTCAAAATTTTTAGATTAAACTTATTTTTATTAAGATTAGATTTTTAGGGGATGTATTATTATGCTTCAACACGAGCAAAATTTCAATCACCCTGATCGAACGATAATTCATTTAACGCGTATCGATATATTCACACGAATGCTAATGCATTATGATTAGACATCTGTCAATATTTTTTTCGCCCTTCCAAACGATCGCATTGAATATTTGAATATTTCGGGAGGGGTTGACCGAAATTAGGTCGTATTTCACGCGGAAATAATTTGGTTAATAATTAGAAAACGACGGCCATGATTCGATTTTACTTTAATACACCAATGATGATTGGTTTTAATATTCAATCGGGACACGAATCAAAAGGGTCCATTTTTTTTTTTTAAAGCGTTACAAACGGATATTTCGTTATAGTATTTTTTTTTTTTTTCATAAGTGGGTAAGTGCTTTCATAAAGCAATTGCAATTTATTATCCTTTTGGTAGAAATATTTCACCAGGGAGATAATCGTCTCGCATTTCCCTGATTTTTTAATACTTTTCTTTGTTGATGGCGTTATATAATCGCGGGGATTCTGGATTTTGCATATGTATATATGTAAGGTGTTTCGTTATTCGAGTAATTTCTCTTGAAAAAGTAAATTGAACAAGAGGAATAGAATTTTTTCGTGTAAAAGTTTGGAAATTTTTCAAGCTTTTTCAAGCAATTCGTTGAAATTCACTGATTAATTTTCCAAATTTTTTTGATCTCATCGTTTCGTATCTTTTGTCAGAACGAGAAATAGCGTTTGGAAAAACCTTGGAAAATAACTTGATTTACACGAAAACGAAACCTCGTAGTAAATAAATATTCTTTCTTTTCGATCTACTTCTTTATTAGAAATCATCCCTTATTCAACGCGTGTCATGAATAATGGAACACCCCGTACACCTGTGTGTACGCGAGCATACGTTGAAGGGAATAGAGGGAGCGTTAATAAAGATGAGTGACGACGTTTAATTAGTATTATTAGGAATATAGACGCGTTAATCGAGAGAGCAGTCGAAATGTTACGAGGATTCGAACAGGGAAACTGTTAAAACGTGACAGATTATATATTTCCTTTGATTCGCTATTTAAAAAGATCTCGTAGATTTTGATTAACCTGTGGATCCCTCTCTATCTCCAAAATTCCTTCTGACCAAAAAGCCTTCTTCGAAACAAGCCTTCATTTCACAAGATAGAATCGTTATCGCGAGATCGAGCGAAAAATTTCTTAGAATCATCAAAAAAAAAAAAAAAAAAAAACTCGACAAAAGAATCAAGCTGGTAAAAAAATTCCCATTGAAAGTTCGTTTCTCCCTTTTTAAAAATTGCACTCGATGAACGATTAAACGAAGAAGAAAGAGAGAAAGAAAGAAAGAAAGAAAGAAAGGAAGGAAGGAAGAACGGTGACCGAGAGAGAAGAAAGATGAGTAAAACAAGGGAAGAAAAGGAGAGGAAAGATCGAGGAGGGGAGAAGGAAAAACGGTGACGACGGTGCTTAATTCGCAGGAAGGCCACTTATTAGCCGTAGACGCCTTCCATCGTCGGAGTGCACTCGTGAATGTCGCGACTATCGTTCCAATTGTCGAAGACAAAGGGGCGGCGAAGGGGTGGAGGTAAAGGGCGCGCGCTTCGATGCTCTTGGAATGAAACGGACCATTTGGCAAGGGTGAGAGGAGGGCGAAGGGGATAAATATGCAAGAGCGCCCCTGGGCTCGAGAGGAAGGGGAGAAGGTTGGATGTGTACAGGGTGGCACGTAACAGGGCGATATGAACGTGTGGCGGTAAGAGTAACGTGGGAAACGTTAAAGTAAAATTTATCATCAATTTCTGCGAGAAAATGTTCGAATGTTCAAGTGGAATAATTAATTAAGGGAAGGGTCTAAGGTAGAATCTGTCCACGCGTGGAAAACGAAACAACTTTTATTTTTAATTAATTAGTTTTCGAGAAGATTTAATTCGTGATTAAATTATCCACGCGTGGATAAAAATTTACAATTCGTTTCCCGTTCCAACCAGAAATTGTCACCGATTTCATCACTTGAAAATATTTTCAAACTTGAAATATTCGCAAATTCGTACGAAATTTTCTTCAACTCGTCTCCTTCAAATTACACACTCGATCAATTGTCATCAATTACATGACGTCCTGTACAAACGTAGAATGGAAACAGAAGACGAAACTAACTTCGAGAGGTTTTGTGCTCCCTGAACAGTTGTGTTATTCCAGGCGACTACTAACTTTCCCCCTTCCCTTCCGCACGCGAAAATATTACATTCTTCGAGATTCAGAGGGGGTTGAAAAAGGAGGAGAGGGGGATGGAAATTTGGAGCGAAATTTCCTTCGATACCCAACTCTAATTTATTATCGGCGAATTGCGAATAATGGAAGAGGGGGGAGAGAGGAGGCTTCAATTATATCTCGGGGGAGGGAGAGTTTGAAAAGCTTGTAAATACGAAATTTTCGGGGGGCGAGAGGGGTGAGGTATGACGTTATTTCGCGAAAATTCCGTGAAATTATCGTGCAATTTGGTGGAATTTGGCGAGGGCGCATCCTGGGAAAACGATGGGAAGGGGGATGGAAATTCTTAACGTGCCGTCGTAAGAACACGTATCGTTTTCAATATCGCGAATCGTCGATCGTTTTTCATTTGACCGTGCCGCTGGACATGTAATATCCCGTCCCTCGATAATTAAATTTCCTTGGAAATTATCGAATATGGATAATAGAATGGAGGGGGGAATTCGAGGAAGGGTTGGAAGGAAATAAACTCAGCCTGGGGCACGGGTAGATTGCTCGTGGATAGCTCGGAAAAATTCTATATTCGGTTATCTTCGAGAAATATTCGAGACTTCCCTCTTTTTCTCTTCTATTCTTCTTTGATTCCGTTTGTTAAAAATTTTATTTTCTTCCAACCAGATTATCTTGCGATTTTGAACAATTAATCATCATAAACCGCTTCGCATAAAATCGAGCATTCCTGTAAATCTTGTGACCAAACTTTCGAAAAGATCCATCCAATTCGATCTTCGCGGAAATAAGAAGCAAAAGGAAAAAATTAAAAAACTGATGAAAGCACAGATGAAGGAGTATTCGATGGAAGATTCCAATGGAAAACTCTAAAAACAAAGCATCGCTTCGAATAAATTGGGAACGATAAATTCTGATGTCCAATGAAATCGGCGAAATTCCATTTGCGGCCGGGGACAAGGAAGCGCGTGTAAAAGCGGAGAGAAAAAAGGCCGGTTGCGCGGAGGATCCTCCACTCTCGAGGAGGAGGATCCTCGTGAAGTGAATGGAAGCCGAAAAGCCGGGTGGCGGCGCAAACCCCTATAACCCCGTGTCTAATCCGAGTTCGTCTCGCCCGCTCACGGGCCATCTCCCACGGAGTTTGTCCTTTTGCCCGTTCATAGCAAGAGCAGACAGAAGAGATTCGAGTCACCGGCAGATCGGTGGAGCAGTCAGTTTCCAGGATCGAACGTTTCCTTGCGATCGAACAGCTGCTCTTCTTCCACCACTCGTTCAACCCCTTGTCTTCTTGCTCATACTCTCCCCTACTTTTCAATTCTTCCTATTTTCCTTCGTACAAATATTCTCGTAGGAGAACAGTGATAATGCATGGAATTACAATATTCTCGAAGTTTAACCGGTTGATAATGGAACGTTGTAGAATTGATTTTTTTGTATTATTAAAATCTTCCGTTATTGTTATATATATGTTATATATATTATTTATTGTTATATATATTAATTTTGTTACATCGATTCCAATAGAAATTAAATTGATACTCGATTAAATGTATTGCATTCTTTCTGTACTGTTCTAATTATCGTCGCAATGTTGCAGCAGTATTACGAACTTTTCCAACGCCAGAAAATTCCCTCTTCGATCGACATTTCCAACTCGACTTCCAAACGCTTTCGCTTGTATATTGTACGTTTTATATATACAGGTTGTGACACTGTCAAAACCTCGCGCTATTACAAATTCCTCGGTGTTATCGGAGAACGAGGAGCAAACAAGTTCCTTCTCTTCCGCGTTCCACGCGAATTTCCGCGAAAAATTTCCTTTACTCGAGGAACGAGCCTGGTGGAGGTCGGCCACGTTTAATCGGCTTCTCGATTTCATTAGCTGGAGGCGCGCGATTCCCCGACGAGGGAATACGACGACCGACGTCCTCTCCTCCTCGACTCGAAGGTTTTTGTCCTCGAAAGGCAGGGTCCTCCCCGCAAAAATGTATTCCCGGGCACGTTTTCTATCCGAGAATTTTCGAACTGGGTGGAGGGGAGGGAGGAGAGAAGGTCTTTCTAATAAGACTGTCCTTTAATAAGCGATCTGGCGTGCCATCTAATTTGCGTTATCAGGCCCGTCTCGTTAGCAGTTGTGCTCCCCCTCCCTTCCTCCCCCTTGCCCTCGTGGAATAATTAAAACCCTGCGACGTGACGCGATGAAACGCGGAATCTCTGTCTCACGAATAGTCTGTTGGGAACAGGGCTGTTGCGAAGTGTTTGAGAAGGGAGGATATGGAAACAGTCACTTCGAGTAAGAATAATAATAATTAAAAAAAGGAGGAAAGAATTGAAGAATATCAACGAAATCGACGCGAATCTGTCTTCTTTTTAGGTTAGGAGGAGAGGAAGTGTAGGAAGAGACTTTTTCATCTCGTTTTTATCACTCGATCGCACACGTATTCGAGAATGGATCGATATTCGTTTGGATCTTTAGTGTTTTAAAATAGTATTTTTCACTTTTCTCTTATTTATCGAATTCTCTTCAGTTTTTTTGGAATTTACCTTATTTTGCCGGTAATTTCTTTTCAAAATTTACGTGCAATGCAAATTTTTTAATTTTCGACGTTTGATTGCGACGAGAAAGATCTTTAGTATCTCCTAGTATTGTAAAATAATTTTCTTCAGTTTCGAAATTTACTATTCTTTGTCCTGCCGTATTTCTTCTCCAAATTTTCGAGGATATGCAATGCAAGTTTTTTAATTTTCGATGTTTGATTGCGACGAGGAAGATTTTTAGTATCTCCTAGTGTTGTAAAATAATAATTCTCCTCAAAAAATTTCAAAATTTACCTATTCCTCGTCCTGTCGCATTTCTTCTCCAAATTTTCGAGGAATCGTGCAATGCAAGTTTTTTAATTTTCAACGTTTGATTATAAAATAATAATTCTCTTCAGTTTCGAAATTTACCTATTCCTCATCCTGCATTTCTTCTCCAAATTTTCGAGGAATCGTGCAACGCAAGTTTTTTAATTTTCAACGTTTGATTATGAAATAATAATTTTCTTCAGTTTCGAAATTTACCTATTCTCCTCGTCCTAATGCAAGTTTTTTAATTTTCGATGT